CCATTTGAACTACCTGGCGGAAATACATTAACATCTCCACCTTCGGATTGTGTAACACCATAAGTAAAAATAGTTTTTCGCTGGTGAAGATTTTTTATTGCGTCCATTACAGGTCCTGTACCAGATAATTGCATAATTGCAAATAGAACAGAACTTTTAGCATTTTCAACGGCAGCTGCTACTTTATCTAAGGATACATGATAAGTTGAATGTGGAGAAAATGCAACGGAAAGTGATGGTAAACCTTTCTCATTATTGACATCGAACCATCTAGATGCAATTTGGGACGATGAAAATTTATTCATATTTATAAATGCTTCTTGAAATGCTTGTTCATAAAGGTCAGCTACAACCGAATCATTGAATACAAGTACATTATTTGATTGAACATATAAACCTCTTATGGAGAAATTTGTTGAGCCCGTAAGCACTTTAATTGGTTTATCATTTTGTTTTTGTATAATAACTTTATTATGAGCAAAACGTTTGAAGTGTCCGCTTTGAACATTATTGCTACCGGCTGATTTCTTAATAAGCGCTTGAACTTGTGGTTCTATCGCATGTGGGCCAACATGTAACGAAGCATTGTCTAAAAATAATCTTAAACGAGATCCTAATTTAACAAATCGACGAATAATATCAGGTTCATCTAGATCGAATGCAAACACATCTACTGTTATAGATTTATCAGCAATACATTCATCTAAAAAATTAAATATTAATTCTCGAGCATGATAACCCAACCATTCATACTGTTTTTCGTATGGTGTCGTATCATAGCCAACTGTTTTTGGGCCACTTGGTTGAATCGGAGCATTATGAAAATTTTCACTGTATGCTTGTGATGATAAATATCCACGAGTAAAACCAATTTTTAAATTTTCAAATGATAAACTATTTTTTTGAACAGTTACGACTGCTTTCGCACCGGGCTTAACGTCTGATGTGTTTTCATCAACGAAATATAAAGCAGTTACTTGATAAGAGTATGATACTGGATCAATTGATTTTAATATGTCGAGCCAACTAAACTTTTGAATTGGAGCTATTGTTGATGGTGTCCATACTCGTTGAACTGCGGTTGTATGAGATGTGTAATTAGTTCGAAAATTAATACGATTTTGTATTATGTATGGTTGACCACTGGAAGGAGTGCATTGTATAGCAAATCCAGCTAAATTCCTAGTTAGTGTCGAATCTAAGTTATAAACTAGTAAAATGCTGCCGTCACCAACATATGCTTTTAATGTTAATCCTTCGGTTTGACGAATATTGTGTGTATTTGAAACTGGAGTTATTGTATAAACCTTTGCTCTGGTTCTTCTAGATTTTTTTACAACTGGAGATGAATTAATAATTTGTTTAGGTTTCTTTTGACGTTTTCTTGTTGTACGCATTATTGAGAGTTACTTTAAGATATCTAAGAGCAAAATTAAAAACTATATATATTATCCTGTAGCAGTATGAAAAAAATAAGAAATATATAAGCCTGTCAAAGACTTTTGTCAGGGTATAATGTATGTCTAAACACTTTCTGTATACGGACAAATGTAAGTATTTACAAAAGTGTTTCAACATCAAGGGGGAAACTGCGGACTTTAGACTTGAACGGACTTAAGGAGACTTTATCGGACTTGAGGGGACTTTGATGGACTTGAATAGACTTGAACGGACTCTAGAGGACTTTAAAGTCCTCGAAAGTCCGCTCTAGTCGTATCCGTTGATACATTCCTCAGACATAGAGTAGTCAGTATTTTGAGTTGGCTCCACTGTTGATTGCTTTTGCATCATCTCCGCTGATTATAGTGTAATTTTAGCAGCATCTGAGATCATTTTTTATCAAGAAATAAACGATCAGACAAATTACAAAAAAGCAGACGTTTCCTCTTCAAAAATATACAGCATTT